CAACTCCTTCTGAAGTGCCGCCGTTCGCTCCTGGGATTGTCCAGCGTTCGCACTTGTGGCTTGTGCATTGGTGAGCTCTTGGCGGATGCGGTCGACCTCCTCTTGTAGGCTTGTACATGATTCTTGCGACTCCTTGAGTTGTGCAGTGAGTGCGGTGATTTCAGCCCTCTTCTCTGACATGCGCTGATTATGCGTCTTTTGGAACTTTTCTCGCTCGGCCGCCTTGATGTTATCTCGCTCAGCATTCGCCTTCTGTACGTCACTTGTGAGAGCTGTAATCTGTTCGTTGAGGCCGGCTACCTGCTCCAATGCCTGATCGCGCTCGACCTTGTGGTTTTCGATCTGTTGTTTGAGATCTTCGAGGTCCTTGGGGTCGATGCGATCGTATCGCTGGAGCACATCCTGGTGACGCTTCTGCCAGCGGTCGCGATCCTCCTCAACAGCCTTGAGGTGGCCTACGTTGAGCTCGAGCTCGCCCTCAAGTTCAGTTACGCGAACTTGCAAGGGTTCCAACTCAGCCTGCAGATCCTCCAGTGCCTTGGCCTTCTCGGCAAACGAGGCCTGGAGACGTGTGTTTTCACTGCGCAACGTCGCATTGCTCTCTCGGTAGACGTTGAGTTCTTCGAGGTTCTTGTTGAGATGTGCGAGGCTGGAGTTGCTCTGCGAACCCGAGGCCTTGGCTTGCTCTTCCAGTAGCTTCTCTCGCGTCTGGTCGAGCTGACCCTGGGCGTGTGTGAGTTGCTGCTCGAGACGCTTAGACTCCTGCACTTTCAGGTTCAACTGAACCTCCAGAATTTCCTTCTCTCGGCGGAGATAGGTCTCGATGTCCTGAAGGTTGTTGGAGCCGGACTCCGTGCTGCTTGGCTCCCCAGTCGATGCACCCCGGTCGTTCTTCAAGCTGTTGATTTGCTCTTTGTATTCGTCGAACTGCTTGAGCAATGTCTGGTTGTATTGCTTCAAGTCGTCGTGGCGGCGTCTGGCTTCAGCAAGCTGCTCCTCATAACGGCCCTCAGTAGACTTCCAGTGTTCTTGACTCTGCTCCAGCGTTGTGCGTGCAGCTTCTGCTTGCGTCTTGAACTCTGTGATCTGGGATTGAAGCTGGTTGTATTCATCCCGCAGCTCCCGAAGCTTCGTCATGCTCTCGGCGTGCTTCTGGAACTCGTGCTCGTAGTCTTTCTGGGCGCGCTCGGCGATGTCGGCTTGGGTCTTGACGTATTGCATCTGGTTCTCGGCCTCAGCCTTGTAGTCGGCTACATCGTTGTTGAGTCGGGTGATCTCTGCTTCCAAGGTTTCCTTCTCTTGTCTGAGGACCAACGTGTCTTGCTCATGCTTTCCTCGCAGTTCGGTAAGCTCGGTGCTGCTTGACGCGAGCTCAGAAGAGATGTCTTCTACGCGCTGTTGCAGGTCGCGGATGGTAGCATCCTTCTCTTCTTGTGCAAGGTTAAGTTGCTCTTGGAGTCGTTCGTGAGCCTCGACGAAGGTCTGCAATCGGTTCTCAGCATCCTGGGCGATGTCCTGAAAGCCGGCAATCTGGGCTGTGACGGCCTCCAGATCCTCTTCCTTGCGCTCGATCTTGCGCTTAAGATCCGAGACCTGTTCAGCCAGCTCTTCCTCACGGCTGACAGGATCTTGCTCATCATTGGCCTGCGATCGTGGTTGAAGAGCCTGTAGGCGCTCCTCTGATGACTGGAGTTGGTTCTGGAGGTCCTTGAGGCGTTGCTCCAACTGGTGGCGTGTCGTTTCAGCGGTCGCGGACTTGACCTCGGCACTGTTACGTGCTGCGATGAGGTCGTCGATCCGTCGTTGCGTTTCGGTTCGCTCGTAGTCTCGTTGCTGGGTGGCCCTCTTGTGCTCGGCGATCTCGTCTTCCAGCTTGCTTTCAGCGTTCTGCAAATCTGTCCGAAGCTTGTCCACCGTGTTCTGCAACTCGCGACGGCTTTCCGCGGTGGCCAACTCAGCTTCGTTGCGCAGACTCTGAATCGAAGACACCATGTTGCTCAACCGATCGCGCTCGGTCATCAACTCCTGGTTCCTTTCCTTGAGACGTGCTTCGATGGTCGCGGACATTTCCCGAGATGCCTTGAGCTGCACCATCTCACCCTGCAAGCTCTGAAGACGTGCCTCAGCTTCCGCAGCGTTTTGGGTGGCCTTGACAAGCCTGTCGTCCTGTTGGGCCATGGTGGCTTGGACCTTGTTGTAGCGTTCCTGGAGGGAGTCCTTTTCAGATTGAAGCAGTTTGATGCTGCCCTCAAGACGAGCGTACCTGTCCTGCTCTCGACGCACCTGCGATTCGAAACGGAGTTTGTCGCTCTGGAGCTGAGAATTGTCCTTGGTCAGATTATCAACCTGCGCCTTGAGTGTAGTGCGGTCTGTGGCACTCTCCTCCTTGAGCAGGTCAATGTGTGATTGAAGGTCCTTGATAAGCTTGCTGTACTCTGGGATCTCGCGGGATGAAGAGCCGTTCTCGAGAAGCAAAGGAGCTCCGCCTGCAGGCACAGATTGTGCGAAAGCGGATGTTGACTGCGAGTGAGACGGCAACTGACCCCGGCCGCCAACTATGCGGCTGTACATGTCGCGCTCGGTCTTGAGTGTTTGCGAGCGAACGTTGAGTGACTTGATCTCTTCTTCTTTCTCAGCGACCACGGAGCGTAGACGGCCGAGCTCTTCGACGTCTTGCTGGTATTGCTCAGACTTCATGCGAACCTCTTGCCTCTCCTGTTCGTCGCCCACTTGTCGGAGTGTGCGCGTCAGTTCGGCGTTCTGTTGCTGGAGGGTAGCAATGTCCTTGTAGAGGACCAAGTGCTTCGTGATCATCTGGTGTGTAGGCGAGTCGTCTGGTACGTGCTTGTCCGGTACTTGGTTGTTCTCGACAGCGTTGACGATGAACTCTTGCTGTTCCTCTGTGAGGCTGCCCAGACCCTGCTCTTCAATCTGGCGACGCCATAACAATGTCCGCAGCTGGATCGTCATATCCTGTACCTGGCGACGCAGTAGAGCGGATTCGTTGTGTACGCCTTCCAAGTCACCCAGGGCCTTGCGCGAGTCGCGCTGTGCTGCCTCGCGTTCGGCAATAGCTTCTTCGAGAAGCGCGCTGATTTCGTTGTTCTGCTCGTTCAGGGCATCGTTCTGGCGGCGAAGTTCGTCGAATTCGGGTTGGTGACGCTCCAGCTCCTGCAGCATGTCGTTGAGGACACCGGTGTTCTCTTCCAACTTCTCACGGACCTTGCGAAGCTCTTTCTTGAGGTCATTGTTCTCGATCAGTAGCTGGGTCTTGGACGCATCGGTCTTGAGCTGCGAGCCGCCAGGGGAGAAGACGACAGCGGGCGAACCAGCTCGGCCGGGCGTGCTGAAGCCACCATTCATGCTCATGCCGTGTCGCGGTGTTCCGGGAACGCGGACGGAGCTTCGAAGCTCCGAGTTGTCGCTCTTGAGGGTCTCGACGAGCGTCTCCAGCTCAGCGGTGCGCGCATCGGCCTCGGCAGCCCTCTCGCGTTCCGCCTCGACTTCGGCCATGAGCTGGCCAATCTCGGTCGCGGCTTCCTCTTGTACGCGACTGCTGTCCGACTGCAGCTGCTCCAAGCGCTTCTTGGTCATCTCGTTGTTCTGCTGGTGCAGCGTCGACAGGCGGCGCGCGCTGTCGAGCTCAATGCGGAAGTGGGCCTCGGCGGCTGAGGCTGCGTTCTCGAGCTCCTCGATGCGCAGGCGGTCCTCCTCGGCCTTGCCCTTGAGCTCCTCAATGTGTTGTCGCAACAGCGTCTCGGAGCGGTTTAGGGTGTCGATGGTCTCGGCGGCGTCGGCGTTCTCGCGCTGGAGTTGGGCAATCTGGGCGTTCTTCTCCTTCCGGTACTTGCTGTGGTCGTCTGCGCGCGTCTTGAGCTCGGTCGTATACCAGTCGTTGTTGCTGCGGAGCTGCTCGATCTCCTGCTGCAGGTTGGCCTCGCGGAACTTGACATTAGTGGCGGCGCTCTCGAGCGACTGCGTCTTCTCCTCGAGCGTCGACACCTGCTTGCGCAGCTCAACAGACTTCTGGTGTTGCTCGGTGAGCTCCTTGGCGAGGCGGTCGTGTGCGGTCGTCTTGGTCTCGTGCATGGCCATGAGGTCGCGGTTCTGGGACTCGAGCGTCTTGATGCGCGACTCGAGCGCCTGCGTCTCAGACGTCGAGCTGGTGGCCGTGGCGCGCAGGTTGTGCAGCGCCGACTCTGCCTCTTGCCGTGCATTTTCTATAAACGCGTCAGTATCAATTAGACATGCATGGCTTACGCATCTCGTACCCTCTTGGACTAGCTTCTTCTTCAATTCCTCGGCCTCCTTCTGCGCCTTCTCTGCGGTGGCCTTCAGGGTGCGCGCGCGCTGCTCTCCGCCCTGGATGGCGGCTTCGCGCTCGACATCGGTGCGGATCTTCTCCGATTGGAGGTCATCGTATGCGCGCGCCTTCGCTTCGATCTGGGTGAGGAGCGTCTGGACGAGCTCGACGGTGGGCTCGGATAGTAATGACTGTAGGGTTGTCTCTGGGACGGAATAGGACGCGGCCAGGTAGCCGACGTCGACGGATGCCGCCATGATGGTGTATTAGTTTATTGCAGGCCTCGAACCATTCTCCGGGTCGGTCGAGTGGGTCCCGGGGAGAAAAGAGACAAAGGAGGGGGGTGGTGTTGACGCGAACAATGAACGGGTCCGCGGTCAAAGTCGCGAGTTCAGTTGTTTGACGACGGTCGCGCAGGGGCCAACCACTAGCGCGGCTGCCTCGCAGGCTTGAGGTCATAGCACATGTGCGTCTTTCTCCGACGCCTTCACTCGACGTCTTCCATTCACTACCTCCACCTTCACCCGCCGCACCTTCCGCGCATCCACGCTCACTACTACCGGACCTTCCCCGTTGGCTGCCGTGCGACTCTTTAGCTAGACGCTGCACACTCGATTGCCGACAGCAGGCCTCCTCGACAAGGCAACAGCCACCCCCGACCGCATCTTCAACTTCTACCACTACCACTACAACCACCATGTCCTTCCTCAAAGCGAACTCGGCCACAGGCATGAACGCCCCCTCACCGACACCTTCGAGCTCCTCCGCCAGCGGAAAGCGCAAGCGTCCAACCGATGGAGCGCCGCCCGTCGTCTACTCGCAGCCGCAGGACACAGGCACCGGCGAGCACGTCTTCACCCGCCTCACCTACGTCAACGACTTCCTGCGCGAGCGCAAAGAAAAATGGCACACCTTCGACGACATCATGGAATACCTCAACATCCCACCGGGCCACATCCAGCGCGAACAGCTGCGCCAGCTGATGCGCGCCGACAACGCCGGCAACCGGATCAGCTGGGACTCTGCAAACGAACGCTACAAATACAAGAGCAAGCTCAGCATCCACGACCGCGCGCAGCTCAAAGGCCATTTCCAGACGCAGAAGTCGGCCATGGGACTGCAGATCAAAGACCTGAAAGACGGCTGGTCCACCGTCGCCGACGACATCACCAAGATGGAGAACAAGAAGGAGGTGCTGGTGCGACGCGCCAAGGACGGCGTGCCAAAGACTGTCTGGGGCAACGACCCTTCTCTCATGCTGCCCATGGACCCCGTCTTCGCAAAGGCCTGGCACTCGGTCCAGGTGCCCGATAACCCGGATGAGCTGCGCAAGGCCCTGCTAGCCAACAAGCTGACCGCCGCTACGCAAGCCAAGGTTATTGTTGCCGCCCCTACCAACAAAAAGAAGAAGGGTCCTCGTCGTGGTGGCAAGCAGACCAATACCCACATGATTGGCATCCTGAAAGACTTCTCCGGAATGAGAAAGTAGACGAGTCTGAGGCTTGCAATCTCTCTCATTTGATGTGGAGTACCTTTTGCGTACGTGGTGGTTATGTTATTTCGGGAGTCATGAGTGGCTCGTGTCGATCTGCGTCATCGCAGTACCATGGATGGCATGGAAGGAACTGAGATAAAGTAGACCATGTTTGTTTCTTAACTGCATAGCGACGGCGTTGGCACATGTTTTCACGTATACTGGCGTTTTCATCTCTGGGCAACGTGGGAAGACCGTTGAACCTCCTTCAAATTGGCATAGAAAATAAACATATGTAACATTATGCATTCCCTCTTTCCCAATTTCCCCTCCTCCTTCAAGCCCTCCCTCCCCATACAGTCTCAGTGAAATCATACTCCGCAGCAACTGACCTACACGCAACTGTTAGCAACGTCCCTGTTCTTTTCTCTGGAGTAGGTAGGGTACTTACACCGCAGCTAGGACAGTCGGTACCACAGCCGCACGGCGGCACGAATCTGGTGGCGCAGCAGCTCTCGAACTGCTGACGAGCTTGGAGGTCGCCTTCTACGACGTCGTAGGCTTTGATGCTGCCGTCGACTTGGAGCACGTAGTTCGTGGCGGCGAGGGAGGTGCTCGCGCAGAGGAGGGTGAGGAGGGATGTGAGCTTCATGGTTGTTGATATAAGGAGGTCGGAGTTGTAGGTAAACGTATTCTTATTGTCTGTCTGGATAGGAGGGTGGTCGTGGTCGTGCTATACCTAGCTACTTATACACACACTGCCCATCCCCCATCTCCTACCCCGGCTGACCATCCTACCCAACACGTACCTTTCATATATCCACATATCCACATCTCCACATCTCCACATCTCCACATCTCCACATCTCCACATCTCTACTGATCCAGCCTCGTTTGTTTTTCGTCCGTTGCATCACTGACACTGCGTACGCATTCTGTGGAGACGAACCCCTTGCATTTCGGCCCGTTGGCGCGTGGTTTGCAGACTAAAGGGCTGAATCACGTCTAGGCGGTACTGGGCATCACACCATGAATGAAGTGATACTGCGGTGAGGAGATGTGCGAGGAGGTGGCCGCTGTGTGCCTTTGTCGTTGTCGTTGTTGGTGGTGTTGTTGTTAGTGTTTGGGGATCACAGCTAGCTACGGGGTGTTGAACTAGGTATCCGGTGAAGATGGTTATGGAAAGCAGACGTTGATATTGAACTTTTCGAATTCGTTCTTCCAGGCCAAGGCGGATAGATTACAAACATATCCCAAGTTTTTGCCCATGAGATATCATACACAACCCCAATATACTTCTTCCCACCCTTTCTCTCCTTCCTCAAAGATTACAGCAAGATGACTACATCCAATCCATCATTTCATTCATTTCATTCATTTCACAACAAAATATACACCACAAGCATTCTCATACGCCCTCCCACACCCACAAGGCGGAGCGAAATTATTCGAGCAGCAATCCGGGATAAACTGGCGTGCATCCAGCTGCGTATCTGGTACAATCTTGACAGAGCCGTCGACTTGAAGGATGTGGTTTGCGAACGCGGTGCTCACGCCAACGGCAGTGAGGAGGGCTGTGAGACGCATGTTGGGTGGTGGGTAGATGTGCTGGGTTATTGTTGGTTGGATTGGGGATGTGGGGATGTGGTTGGTGGTGTGGATATAAGTATGTATACTACATGTATTCCCAAACAGCTCCAACCTTTCTTCCACCTCAACACCACACACGTCCACGGGTACCTTGCGCACCTCCAGCTTCTCTTCCCTTCCCTTCCCATCACCTCACCTCATCACCTCACCCACGCACACACAAGCCGGCCCATTCCCACCCACCACACGCATCGTTTCGGCCCGTTCGCGTCCACTTTCCAAGGTTAGTCCGTACCTAGGTATATAGGCTGAATAGCCACGTCTAGCACCTGGGCAAAACCGCACATCACCACCTCTGTCGTCTCTACTGCTTACATGTGGGTATCCTTACCGCGGGCGCAAGAGCCGTACAATGACCTGCAGCAGTCAACGGCAGTTGGATGCGTCTGCATTCCCGGCCATGGGAAGCGGGAGGGTGATGAGGGAGGTCGCCGTTTGCGTGGGCGGGAGGATGGGAGGATATGGTGACGATGATGTTGTACATACGCGTATTAGGTTTCGCGCCGTTGGAGTAGCATTTTTAGTGGCGTGATGGATTGACCAGACCAGTGATGGTTGCCTCGTTCCGGGTATCTGGTCGCCACCTGACGGCTTTTGGTAGCGGTTTGTCGCATGGACATTCACCGCTTTTCTTCCCTGTCCTGCATAGTGCTTCTACGGTTGTTTCTCGGTCGCTCAGTCCTACCCAGGTAGCCTTGCACGTCGCAATTCCGGCGCGAGCGACGAGGCTGTACATGAGATGTAGAGGACAAGTTTGAAGGGTCTTGTCCTTGGTGGAGTGTTCGGTGTATGGATTGGTGTTATGTCACCACCTTTGGTGTATTGCCTTGACCTCTCCAATGTGGTTCGGGTCCCAAGCCGTTCTTGTTGTGATTTGCAGGACTACCTAGGTGGGAGGCTGAAAGGCTGAATCACATCTTGGCGCCGCTGGGCATCAGATTGCGACTTTAGGTGCGGTGCGGTGAGTTGGGGCGGTGGGATGGGATGGAAGTGTCGTGCGATGGAGGTGTTGTTGCTGGCGTTGTTGGTGGTAGTGCCCAGGTGGTAGTGTGCAGAAACCACTGCCATGTGTGAGTATTGTCGGACCTGGTAACTGGGAATTATGAGGCTGGAGGAGAGTCCCGATATTTACCCGTAGCTGTGGCCCAAGGTGATCTGGGTTGGCGGTCAGTGCTCAGTGATACGAGAAGCCATGTCTGTCGTAGGCCTGTCCGTGTCAACTGTTATCGCTTCTGGTAGCTATTTACATCAGTCTTCGTGGCACTCATAAACTTCGAAATGTTGAAATCTGGTACTTGCACGCTACCTAATATTGACATTAGCGCAGATGTTTGATTCCATGCTGACATCAGGCTATTACGCCCTTGATCCCCCCTCTCTTTCTCTCTCTATCGTCATGTCTTTGCCTCTCTTCCCCCTTGGACGTTTTCTCATACGTTTCTTCTCGAAGAATCCCTCCTTTCCAGAAGTGCCCGGTCATGGCGGACTATCGCACCTCTCTAAAAACCGCAGCACTCAAGCTACACCCAGACACGTTAGCAAAGCGTCCCATGATCAACCCGACGTATCGCTCTCATTCATCCCCTCCAGGGCTCTCTAGTTCCGTCTTCTTCTTCGTCTCCTTCATCTTGAGTCGAGTAGGAAATACGTACACCACAGCTAGTACAAGGTGCAGGTGGGCAAACACAAGGTCCATTGAAGTTGGTGGAGCAGCACCCTGGGATCTGGCGTGGTAGCAGATCGCCTTCTGCCATCGCTTTGATGGAGCCGTCGGCTTGGAAAATGTCGATGGCGAAGGCGGTGCTTGCGCACAGGGCGGTTAGAATGGCGGTGAGCTTCATGGTTGGCTGTTTTTGTGGTGGGCGCGTGTGGATAGTGAAGACGTCGTTCGAATGAGATGGCGATGGCGGTCGTGGTGGTCGTGGTGCATGTATTTATATTCACCTACCTATATGTTGTACAACGACCTACGTACAACATTTGTTACTGCTTACTGTATTCCGCTTCTCCCGACGTATTTCGTATCGCATGGTATATCACCACGTACGTATGTACATGAGTGTTGATCCCCCTCTCTCTTTCCTTCGGCCCGTCGTCGTACGAGCTCGTCGCTAACCTGGGTAATATAGGCTGAATAGCAGCTGGGCGGACTGAGCATCGTCATTCTTCTATCTTTACTGCCCCTCAACCTGGTGCTTCTCTTCTGCATGTCATGCATCTTGACCAAACATTCTTTCCGTCCGCGAAGCCAAGGTTTGGTTCGTCGTAATGGTTTCTCGCCTGATACGCACATGCAGTTCTGGAATATCGGGTTGAAACGAAATGTCTTTCGTCATCGTCGTCGTTACTGCGGCGAGTTGGGGTATTTGAGGACTTGATCGCCAGCGCTTTATTCGTGCTACATGGATGTCGCTTGCTCGGGTTGATAGCTGAAGATGATGCGCACAGCATGCGAGCCTCGGAGTGCCGTTTGAGACCTTTGGTCGCGTCTTACTGGAATATGTTAGTGCTGTTGCTAGTAGCCATCCGATGTTACGTCATGTACACATGCATTCACTAACCCACGAATAGTGCTAACGACTACTACCACACGCAAGATGCGATAAATATACTCCAAAGCATACATGAAGACGCGGAATTTCTTGGCGTAACGACCACTGCGATGCAAACATTCACCGCTACCTTTCCTGCAGGGTCCTTCCTCGGTTACATCTCGGCTGACTAACTTTAGGGCTTACATCAATTATGCCACGGTTTGATTTGCTCGCTCTTCATGAAATCGCCAGTGTTTCCATCGTTCCGTAGAACCTTGAGATGCAATACGGCGATACGACGTGTATCATCCGTGGCGTCATGATTGGCATCATGTCACCACCTCAGGTTTACCGCCTCTTCCTCTCCAATACGGTTCCTGTCCCAACCTCTCGTCCACGAAGCGTTCAGGTAGACCGATGCCTTTGCTGGAATCGTACTCTCCACTGAGTTGACAATCCGTGCACAGCGCGCCCAGCTCATTAATTCTAGCTCTCGCTTCTGTGTATCGCTCATTCTCTTCTTGAAACCGGGTCTTCATGTCTTTGAGTATGGAGGCTAGATGTTCCTGCCGCTCCGAGGTTACCTCAATCCATATTTTTGGGCATTCTTTATTGTCGCTGTAGCGCGATGGCTCCCACTTGATGTCTTCGTTCCAGCCCCAATCTCGCTCCGCGCTTATAGGCCCGTATCTGCTGAACATGTTGTATAAGATGATGGATATCTGGATCCCCTCGGCGGCAGCAGCTCGGCTGATCGATGCCAGGCTATCCAACCAATCGTCCTTCCAGTCCAGGAGCGAAAGTTCGACACGCAGGTGCCTGAGCTGGGGGAAAGATGTCCGCTTGTTCTGCACCACTAGATCGAGTGCCGGGAGTAAGCACTTTGGGACGAAGTCGACAACCTTCTTATGGTCTATATGCTGGTTCTGGGCTCGTGTTATCCAGAGTTCTTGGAGGCTCTTGGGCAGCGTGGACCAGAGTCTATCTCTCGTGTCGGCGGTCTTGAACATCTCCTCGTCAGTAGTCTTGCGGTGGCCCCATATGTACACCGGGGCGACTTTGAGGCGCTTCAGAGCCGTAAAAGAAGAGAATGAACACGGGTAAGCCTTCCCACGCTCGGCACTTTCGTCGTCAAGGTAAGGATAGAAGTCTTCGTGGCTTAGCCCCAGTGTTTCCAGCGTCTCGTGATGTGGCTCCAGGCTTCGCATCATCGCCGGATGCTCTGTGTCGCACCACGCCCACGGGCCTCCAAGTTCGTAGTTGAATGTCTTGAGTCTTCCGGGTATTGTCGCGTTCAACATGCCTTGGAAATTCTCCACGTCAAGCTTTGCGCATCGCAATTCCAGATACTCTACTGGGCACGATCGTGGCTCCAGTTTCGAGAACAGGGCATTCTCATCGTGGACTTCGCTGTCGCCGTGCTTCCATCCGTTTATAGAGCGCACATTAGGTAGATGGAAGAAAGCTGCGACGTGACTGGTGTCGCTAGAATACTTGTCGTCTGCTCCAGCAACCAGGATATCGATAGGCTCTGACATTGCGTGCGGGTTCCCACGGATGACCCTGGGCAGCAACGAGACGAAATCATCATGACCATACAGGTCGCAATTGATGTTCAAACGTCGAAGTTTTGGGAGGCCTACGAGTAATAGCGCCATAATAGCATCCTCATTCTTGGCCGACTGGATCTTCCCATACACATCTTCAGCCTCTTCGACGGTGGAAGTGTACTCCGCGCACTTCTGCCTCAAGATTTCGTGGACTCCAGGATCATCAGATCTTGGCCAGGATCCGTTGGAATATCTCTCTTCAACATCTGCCCAGGTACGAGGCACGATGAAGGATTTGACAAGACTGGCATGGGCGGGGGAAGTGAAAACCAAGTATGCAAGAGCGGCAAGGTTGTCGGTCTCTTTCAGGTAAATCTCTGAGTACAACCATGGCGTCGCAAGCCGATTGAGTGTTCTGGAAGTACGGCATTGGCTGAGGAGAGATTCGCGTGGGGATAACGAGACAATGTGTTCGAGAAGCTCAGTGGGAAGCTTCTCCTCAATAGAGAGTGACATGGCAAGAACAACGACTTTGCAATGGCAGTTCGCTGGAATGGAGAAGAGGAATCGGTAGCCATCTTGACATTTGGAGAAGATTTATCGTTGTGTTGTTAGCTGTTGCTCGTTATGCAAGGCCGCCAGGGCGTGTCGGATGCCTGCTTGGCATCACGCTAATCAGTTGCTGACGTGACGTCATCGCCACGTCGCCCAATCACTTTGTGTTTGTTGCCTGAAGCATCCACTACTTGTAGATTTATCATTCTATTTCAGAAGTAAGGCGATTTTGTTTCAGAGATCACCACTTTCTGCCTTCGCTATCATCATCTAGTCCGCAGTCGCCCCAAACGGCCAACCATTAAGATCGATATTGAGCAACCTCCCCGACTCAATCTCCTCGGCACGAGACTTGAGATCGTCGATATCCCAGTTACACCACAGGAACTTGCCCTTGAGGAAGCGAGCCTCTGGGGTCGAGAGCCAGAGATTGAAGCTTGCTGGGAGAGTGACTACGTTAAATCGATTAGTGTCACCGCAGTATGCAGTAGAGTCACAGAACTTACCGTCATCAGTCTCAACATGCTTGAAGCTATCCGCCCCACCGACTCTACGGTTCATCTCCGTCAACACAACGCCAGGCTGGGTATGGAAGACGCTGAGATTAGGTTTCGCAAGGAGTACCATGTCCCACAGGCGGTATACAGCCATCTTCGCAACGCAGTAGGACGCGTAAGCATCGTTTAGACTCAAATGGGCGCCCCAGGAGTTGATAGCGACAACATGCGCATCAGGTGCAGCATGGCGTATGAAAGCTTTAGCGACCCATAAAGAGCCCTCAATATTCCCAGTGACGCCCTTGAGAAACTCTCTTGCATCAACCTCAGCGAAGTTCTCAGTTGGACCAATGACCGCAGCGGCGTGAATCAGAGTATCAATTTTGCCCTCTCTCGCGAAATTGTCAAAGGCCGAATTGACAGAAGCCTCGTCGGTAACATCGGTGCTTTGTATAAAGACCCTTGTGTCTGGACACTCCTTCTCGATAAGCGCTTTGTTCTCCAGCAGCGGACCCTCGCGGCGTCCTAGGAGACCGATACGTGCGGCACCTGCGCGGGCGAAGAAACGTGCTGTCTCTCCTCCGATGCCGGTGTTGCCGCCTCCAGTCACGAAAATGGATTTGCCTTTCTGGGAGAGGGCTGGAAGGCTGGGGTCGCCGGCGGGTTGGGCGGTGTTGTGCCAGCGCTGGACTGGAGATGGGAAGGGTGGAGTGGAGGATACCATGGTGATTTGGATGAGTTTTGGTGGAGGATAAAGAATGGGTTGCTGGGCGACTTGCGACTGACGACACTTGAAAGGTGCGAATGTCCTGGGTATTCGTAATAGAGGACGACCCATTATTCTTATAATGTTCTTGTACCCAGGTCGGGGAAAGAGACACGGCGGAGTTCACGAATCCCGACATACAAATTGTTCCGCCAGACACTAGTGAAATCCGACCGCACTGATTCAGTTCGGATGGGGTGGCGCTTTTGCCGGTTGCTATGTCATGCATACTCGTACAAAAATACTCATTAATATCTCACTGTTGGTATATCTCGCTAGAATCCATCAAGCCATATCGCTAAGCCATAGAGGCCGTGAGCATGATCAACCCGCCCATGCTGTCCATACCAGAACACCATTCGGCCCAGCAGGCCGCGCTACGACTAGCTCTACTCGTGAGAATCTGAGATGGCGTCTCGTCACTTGATGGAATGTATGGCAACCACGCATCGCGGCAGGACAATCGACGATGATCCAACTTTATAATCTCACCATCCACAGCCAGCGCAAATGATGTCTCTTCTCGCGGCTCGTTCTGCCGTTGCCTTTGCCACTCCTCTGCATCCCGTGCTTCCCAGAGTTGCCGTCTCGCGGGCAGAGGCGCAACTACGAATTCTGTAGGCATGTCGCACATGGCTGCTGGGTCGAAGAAGACGAGCTTGTTCAGGATGCGATAGATTACCGCGAGTCTATCACGGGTTTTAGTGAAGGAATATGGAACGGTTATCGGAATGATCAATGTACCTTCGCCTGGATTCTTTGTAAATCCAATCTTGCCAGCTGTTAGTTGACTTGCTGCGACATGGTACGTCATGCGTATGACAATCGAAATCGTTGCGAGAGAGTTGTATTGCGACGAGCTAGAACGAAATTCGTTAGATGTGTTTCCTCAACGTGCGGACATGTTGGATTCACAATGACTGCCCTCTCTAAAAGATAATCCAGATTATTATGCTCAGTCTCGCCTTCGTCCAGACGAGTCAAGATGTAGATCGAAAGAGCCTGCATAGCACCTAGTAGTTCCCACTTGTTCAGAGTCTGATTCTGGCCACAAATGCGTTCACACTCGGTTCTCACATTCCGCCAGAAGAGCTTTCGGCTTCCTTTCACTCGCTTCGCCATCATGTGCATCAACGCGATGCAGTTCTCAAGTGGTTCTGTTGTCGTGCCTTCATCCGTGAACGACACATAGCTTGGGTGTATGAAAGGTGGCAGATCATTTTGTTGCAGCATCAGCGGATAGGACTTTAACGTGTAGAAGATGAGGCTGGCCGCTCGTTCCGCTCCCGGATGCATCTTTGGGCGTTGTATCATTGATCTGACGTTCGAAGTAGGGCCGGGTGAGATGGCAAAGCACAAAAATTGTTGTCTCTGGGTTCGATGTTGCCGCTCCCGCTGACGAGTAACTTCATTCTGTTCGTCGGAGATTGGGCCTGTTAATTCCAGCAACGATGAAGGAGGCGTAATGGTCGTCGGGCTGGCTGACCCTGGTGAAGATGATGTGCCTGAAGGGAAAGCCGACTGAGGCGTAGGTATCATATAGTCGTCAAAGGCCGTCATATCGTCGAGGCCCCACTGTAGGTCTTCGGACACGGGATCAATACTGGCCAATGTAGTAGCCAGAAGACCTTGAGATTGATTGGCTACAGTTGGAACAACCGAGTTTGCATGACCGTCAAGGGGATCGTCCAGGTCGTCGGAGGTAGCACGACGCACAGCATCACGCTTTTGCCTTGTAGATCTGGAGGGATAGTGACACATGAGACCCCTTAGGGTACAGCGCGAACATTCTGGTAGTGCATTATCGCACGCGGTCTTTGCCTTTGCGCAGGCCGCGCACGATCGCCGTCTCGGGACAGAGGCTCTCGTATTAGACCGACAATAATACCCATGGCGTTTCAATGATGATTCTTCGAGAACGGTCAGTTCGATGATCGTCGTCGCCAACTTTGAGCAGCATGGCAAGAACACTGACGCTTGGTGAAAGGCTTGTTGCATTGGCGGCACCAAAGCACGCCTGCAGGCACCTGCTCCACCATCCGGTGCTGGTCTGCAGGCGAGGATGAGGGTTTGTGACACTCACGAGACAGCTGGTTCGGGACAAATTGAAGGCAAAAAAGCATTTGGGTGGCGTGAAAAAGAAGCCTGGTCGTGACAAGCACAAGGTATCTAGGTAGTCCCGAGGTTGGTGGTTGGTGCTGACATATGCGGCAGGGACGCGCCCCACCTACATCCTACGGCCGGTACAAATTGTAATTCCCACTTAGGTTAACATAACGCTAGCGCATTAAACAAATAAAGTGCGCCTTTAACTTAGACTATAGTCTAGTCTTAGTTTATACTAGTTATTAAGATAGTACTTTAGTATATAGTATAATTATAATAGCTTTAATATTATTTACTAAAGTACTACTAGTTTAGTATATTACTATAGTACTATAGTTATTAGTAAAGCTAATAATTTAAAAAGATACTATTAGTTACTAAAAAATACTAGTAACTTTTAAGAAAATATTTCTTAGTTATAATAAGTTAAAGTTTTTTAAGTATAATAGTATATAAAGCTATATACTACTAATATTCTTCTCTCTCTTCTATATAATACTAAAATTCTAATATAATTAAAATAGTCTTAACTCTTACTAACCTATTACTTAAATGGTCGAAGATTACACTAGAGCCTCGTGCGCTAGCGCATCGACGTGAAGTACTTCCCAACATAAGATTATTTCGGGCCCGCACGCTCATTATAGGTACATCACGGTCTGATGTTTAGCCTTGGAATGGCTATCTGCGTCGATTAACCTCGTGACCTCGGGAGTCTTGCACAAAGATGAAGTACATGAGTCTATTTAGTAAGACACCAGGTAAACTGCTTTTCAATTGAACGAGTGTGTATCTATCGACCATTCGCCTCAAATCCCCATTCCCCCTTCTTCTGTCTACCCGAGTAGTTCCAAAGTCTCTCTTCATCCCCTCTAGCTACGGTAGTTAACCGTCACATGGCACTTATCGCAGTTACCAGTTCCATAGCTGCCATGCGACTTTCCGCAGTGAGCCAAGATATACTCGGCCTTGTCCTTGATAACCTGACCCCGCACTGCCTGCTGGCCAGAGCCGTTGGTTGCGTACTTGATGAAGCAGCTGCCCTGCGAGAACTCCTGCTGGTCGTTGTAGTAGGCGTTCACGTCGATTCTGGCGATGCCGACATAGCATTCGCTTAGGTTGGGGGAGCGGCTGGAGCCGTCGCAGCTGGGAGGGTGGATTAGTATGGGTGAAGATGATGGGGAGAGGAGGGGTTGATGTCTGAGGGGTGGTAGGAAGGGGAAGTGGCTTACTTGTCGGAGTAGGCCAGAGCAGTGCTGCTGAGAGCGAAAAGGGCGAGTGCGATCTTAGCGAACATGGTTGCGGAGTGTTTTTGAGTGTTTGTGATGGTAATGGATGGGAAGTTGATGTGTTCGATGTCTTTAAATCGCTGTGCGGACGCAGTATTTATAGACGAAATGTGTGCGTCCAGGAAGACACGCATACGCAGCCCCCTAGCTGACTATACCACGCTGTCCTTACTATTTTGGAAGTCAAGACACCGGTGAGGGTGCGTCGATGCTGATGTGCATGATGGCCTGAGGCATGCGTGTTTGGGATGAGGCCCCCCATATGCTCGATGCACACGCTTCGGCTACAACTCCGATCTGGAGATCATGTTCCTAAAATGTCGGTTAAGAGCACCTAGGATCTGCTTCCTTGGTTGATGTGAAGAGTTCCCACCCTTTGAATCCTCACAAAACACGGACCTTCGCAGCGGACGTTTTGATAGAAGCAGTCTGCCTTGCGAACTTGGACTCGATACGCAGTAAACACAGCTCTGCGTCTTGGAGTGCACGTGAAAGTCTGTGTTAACTTACCAACGAGAGATGCAATCGGAACCTCCTCCGCTATTAGACGAAAGCGTAGAGACGTGTCGAGGAATACGCCCACTTCGGGTAATCCGGGAAGCGCCGATCAGGAACGAACGCCTGATCCGGTCGATCGCATCATCTAGCATCACGAAGGCGCATTAGTTCTGGTATCCTGGAGTTACAATATGGTAATATGATACAAGTAAGCAGGAAGCACATCGCCTCTCGTTGGCTAAGTTTGAAGTAGTAGGTGGTCAAGGTTTGCGGGCCGTAGTGGACATGCGTACAGCCTTACGGACGTACGGCCCCGGCATTAGCTTGATTTATGTGCATTAGTATCTGTCCAAAACACGACAAGCTTCCGAAGGGTCCAAAAGCTTGTGGCGTAGATGGGTCAGGCAGGCTGACGTGAAACAGTTGCTTTTGCAGCAAATTCATCGAAGAAGAGCATGTGACTGACTCAGACTGCGATCTGGTCTTCGTCTACGCTGGCCACCGAAGCTTTGTGTCAAGTTCATGGTGGTATCCACATCCAATTAGAGTTATCATAAGCCTTTCAAACAAGCTACGGAGAAGCATTGCCCAGGAACGGCTAAACGAGTAAACGAGGGGCGCGAGGTGATGCACACCAAGGCTATCGTGTAAAAAGGCGGGGAATCAGGCGCTAAGACATCTGAGTGGATCGTGAGGCACGCTTTAGTACTGAATAGTTAGGTGTTTATGATCAAGACGCCGCAATGGGCTGTCATCCCGTAGCTAGCTGGCAGGCTGCGGCAGCGTGGCGCCGTACCGGCGTTGTAGACTAGAAGACATCTCCAGAATGAGCTAGCATACACACAGAGTAGGTGGACATACCGTACGATTAGTGATGAGAAGCCGTCCGTACCGAAGCCCCGATCAGCTCGAACCTAGCCATGAGAAAGGCCTTCCTCCGTGCGATCTCAATTGGATTCGAAGTTCACCGGTGTCTTGTTCCATGCGTCTGTTCGTGCAGATCGGGCTACACGGAACGCCTGTCCTTTCTCTCGGGTACCAGAAACTACACACTCCGAGCCAGAAGCGGACAGATGTGGTCATGGTGACATTGACTTCGCAGGAGCGCCGCATACACTGAGGAAAGCCTTGTCCAGAAACGGCCGCATAAGACTGCCGATCATCAAGTCCAGTTGTAAAAAATGGCAACTTGTTCAAACTGATGCAAGGCGGGGAGGTACGATGCGGGAATACGGTGCAAGCAGCCCGTTCGTGCAGTGCATACGTTCACCGCCGTGGATGGTGAAGATTCCGGAGCCGCATGACAGGCTTACATTCGAAACCCTGGGCAAAAAGAACAAAAACATACAACAGCGGGGATTCGCTAGTGGTCACCCACCTAACTACTAATCCGCCGGTATCTTGCTTAAGTACCGCTGAGCGAACGGGAAGCGCTGAGTTCAAGATCCTATGGTCGTATGTACAAGAATGCCTTTTTGAAAGGAAATTGATCTGCGTCCATTGCCATTAGTAACATGACAACCACAGCCTTGTTCGGGTCAGCCCAAGGTACGGTCCAGGAGCGCCACACAGCCTGATGCGGCTCTGGAAGTTGCTTCTGTATGGGGCGGACCCATGGCGCCTTGCCACACCAACATTGTAGAAGTGTTACCATAAGAACTGTGAGCAAGCTAGGGACAAGCCTTGACCTAGAACGGCTGCATGGAGGCACAAGGCTGCGTATGCCGAGTCCGTCTTTCCGCTAGCGGCCACCAGAGTACCAGAATGTGTAGATACAAGGCGGAGTTGTAAGACACCAAATGCGTTGGCTCAATTCAAAGGGACGCCTTAGCAGATTCGAATGGGGTTGAATTATGTCATGGGTATCTCACTTGATTCGTCTCTTCATGCTGCTGGGACCATACTCATCACCTGACGACTATCCACTCAGCCTTCCAGCGCCTTTGTCCGTCCATTCCTCTTTCTCCAACTCTGCACGCCTCTGTCAATCTCATCTCTTGTCACACCGTCTTTTATAAGCTGCATAGTCACTCCCAGTACCTCCACATTCTTGTTCCTGCTCTCATCGTCGAAGAAAAGCATCTCCTCGTACTCGATCCCGCTGTCTCTATGTATCCTCTGGAAATGCGTCGTCTTGCTGCCGGGGTATATTTGCATGTGATCGAAATAGTCTATCGCGCGTGAGGACGATCCGTTTGCGCTGGGTATCTTGAGGAGCTTGAGCGTTTCGCGGCCGAGATCGGGGGCGCACGTGCGCGAGGCAGCGGCGATGAGGATGTTCTTGTGTTTGAGCTGTCGTTACGTCAGCTTTGTGATGGGAATGGGGGATATCAAGGTATCTCACTGCTTCTAACACGCCGCCGACATCGTTGTAGAAGCCGAAGCCCTCGCCATATTTGTCCTTGACCTTCAGGCCGCCTTCGACAGGTTTCAGCGGAGGCGTGACGTGCGTGTCAACCCAGAAGGGCCATAGCGTGTAGTCGAGATCGAACACGACGATCTTAGGAAGTGGCAGTCCGTCTGTAAACGTCGACGGCCATTGGACCTTTTCTGGGAGCGTTGTAGTCGTGGTCGTGTCGGTGGATGCCGACGAGGTCGCGCTGCGGCGGGGCATCGTGGTCTTCGGTATGGGTGGGAAGGGCGCTTTGAGGAACAAGGCCAAGACAACTGCAGATACGACAGCTGTAAGGAAGCGTGGAAAGGCCAGGATGGAGGTGCGCAGGGTGACTGTGAAAGCTGTTGCACGTGGCGCGCGTGGCAGAAAAAAAGGCGATGACGTAGACGCGTAGGACTGCCCGATTGGGCGAAGGCACGTGAGAACCCCGTGGCACCCGTGGACGCAACAACGTTAAACACACCTCACTACGAAATACCACGATCGATCGTTCACTCGAAAAAGCAAATTTCCTCAAAGATGGCATCGGCGAGTTCGCTTGTACTACCTCAGTCCCCGCTGTACCAATTGGCCGTCGTGAAAATTGAAGTGTTGACCTGCATCACATATCAGCACCCATTGGCATCACTTCATCATGTAGATGTTCACGATTGCTGAGTGCAACTCCCGACGTACCCATACATAGCACATGCACAACATGAGGAAGATGATGGTCTCGACCACTAGCGCAAGCATCCGTGAACTGCCGATGAACTCATCGCCTGGCCTGACCAGGACCATCCTGAACCTTGTCCGGCGCACCTGCAACCTTAATCCAGCTCTAGCTATTTTGATACTATTGCCAAGTGTATCAGGTCTCTTCGGGGCTAAGCGCGCGATGCGCTCGACAACAAGAGGTACCTCGGTACCCGGAACCAGCGCGTTACGGACGCTCAGCACCCTTATCGCGCAAGTCCAGAACTAGATATGCAGCGCGATGGATGCAAAACACCGAAACATGCAACTGTGCGATGACGATTGGGATGATGGCCGTCTTGCATGTGTTAAAATGGGTTGCGCTGCACACCTTCCGTTCTAGTCGTCCAGCCACTGCCAGCCCCGCAAATAACGGGCAGCGGAAGGATTCCCGCCTGACTTCTGCCTGCGTCAACCTCTACACAGCTTTCTCGAGCAATGTCGCCGTGATCCGACCACCAACGGGCTTCAATGGCGGCGACCTGTGCTCGTCGTACAATTCTTCACCGCGACCAGGAACAGCACCAGCTCGTCACCACCCCACGACCCGCAATTGCGCAGCCTCCGCTTCTGCGAATCAAGGCGCGCCCCATTGAAATCCAGCGCAACAACGGGTGACACCACGCCAATCAATCGCCACAATGACCGACTTCCATGAGACAAGATCGCCCCTGACAAACGAAAATGTCCAAGCATGGGCGCGTGCGAATTTTGCCGCGCCCTTTCGCGCCCTGCCACGCGCCGCAAGACTGCATTGGATCCAGTTCGACGAGAGCTTCACCATCAGCAGAGCCATCTGGCGAGGGCTCGGCCGCTCCACCCACAAGCAATTGCTTGTCATCGGCGGATATGCGCCAGGCCCCGCGGGCGACGACGATGAACCCATAGATCGGGTCACCGCGCACGTCCACGAAGATGAGGCCGAGGTCAGCTTTTATCGCATTACCGAGTTGGAGGACGGCGCACACGAGTTGCAAGCTGTGAATAGTACCAGTACTGTTGCTTTCCATGCGCCTTTTTGTGATGTTGGAGACGATACGGGCGGCTCCAAAGCCATCCATCGTGTGTCGGCCCTCATTCTCTACTATTTCTTGGCTGCTGGCCACGTGAAGGAGTTATGTCGGACAAGATCAGATCCTACCATGTTTACCAGGAATTTCCGAGACGCGTGTTTGTGGGTGCAGAATGAGGGAGAAAGACCATTGCTGCCGCCGTCGAGGAAATCGGAACCCAGTACGCCCATTGAGAAGGATTCGATCGCTGTTCGGCCAAAGCGATCATCTACCGTCTGTACGTCGATGATGATTGTCATTTGGTTGATAATGTACTGACTAGAGGCAGCATCATTATCAAGATCCATACCGGAAGACATCCAGGTCCAGCCGCCATCCATCAAACGCGCAGCAACCGACAACTTGAGCGTCAAGATCAAACGCGAACGCGATGAAGACTACCCCAGCATTGCATCGGCTATCCGTCCCAAGAAACACCGTCGCACCGTCAGCGAGCAAATCGTCACGCCCTCGAATCTCAAAGACTCAACCTCAGTCCCGTCACCGTTATCCATCCTCAGCCCACGCAGTCCAGCACCAGAGCGCGTAAACCGTGCATTAACAGACCGAATCCAACATCTCAAAGACGAAAACGCCGGTCTCAAAGCCTCGAATACCAGCCTAGAGACTGAAAAGACCGACCTCCAAAAGCGTATGGAGAAGGAATCCCACGCCTACCGCGGACTGCAAATCGAATCCGACGCGCTAAAGAAAGAATCCGAGAACATGAGAAAAGAGATGATGGCCATGAAAGAGCGGTTAGAATCCGTCGAAACATCAGGCGAAAAGCTAAGGGTGGAAGTAGACCGGTTAACAGCTGTGGAAGAAGCAAGCAAAGAACTACGCAAGGAACTAAGAAATGAAGTGGAAAAACTAAGAGGACGGGTCGAGAGAAGCGAGAAAGAGGCTGAAAATGCGAAAGAAGAGCTGCTGGCTGTGAGGCGTGGGTTAACGAAAGAGCTGGGCGAGGCGGTCAAGAAGTGGGGTGCGTAAGCGACGGGACGTGTTGGGGAATAGCGCTGGCTGTTGATTACTTTTTATTCTTTTGACAGATGATTTTGGCGGCAGAGGCGGCGGCTTGTGGCAAGTTGTACATGGTGTGCAAGGATGGGGTTTTAGGGCATTTTTCTTGGTTTGATGAAGAAGCGGCATCCTCGGCGTATTATTCGGCGTCTCTATTTCTCCTTCGATAGGGTTGAGGGCAGCTCGCAATTTCAATGGGATAGCACTGCAGCGGTGTTTTCCGGACTTGTTATTGGGAAGGTCATGTGTTTGATGGCTTTGTTGACGCTGACATTGAGATGTTGATGGAGAGTTGGATCCCTGCGCTTTCATATTGGTGGTCTCAATTTCACTCTTCCCTCGGATCTGAAAAGTCTACTTGAAATTGTCGATACTATCTCATACTTCTGTTGTTAGAACAGGGGTCGAAGAGTCCATGAATATACTCCATCGACGCATCGTATCCCCACGCCCTGATACGCTACGCCTTTTTCCAGAAATCCGGTATCTTGGTTTGTTTCCCACCGCGAATCGCAGCCTGGAAGCCAGGTCCATCCTCGTCCTGAATCCCACCATTATCTTCCTCTTCGTCGTCATCCTCTTCATCATCCTCGTCGTCGTCGCCATCTTCTTCGTCATCGTCGTCATCTTCGTCACTGTAACCCTCATCCTCATCCTCAGATTCTGACTCAGACTCTTCCCACATCTCTTCCTCGACCTCGATGACAACGTCTTCCTTGACTTCCTCCTGAACGTCCTCGTCAATCTCCTGCTCAGCCTCTACATCAGCTGTTTCCTTAACCCCTTTATCTGCCTCCACCTTTCCAACCTTTGGTTTCGCCTTCCACAGCGGCATCCCAATGCCCTTACTCTCCACATGCTCTGCCTCTTTCAACTGTTCCATGAAACCATAGTACTCGCAATACTCTTCACTCGCCAAAACCCAGCGCTTGGGATGGCGGATACCCATTTCACCAACTAACCCATCTGCAGCCGCCACCTCGTACTTGTGCGGCCACATGTTCTCATATTTGAGCTCGCGAAGCTGATCTTTCCTACGCATTTCTTCTGCGTGTTCCGCGGTGTAGGTGTGCATCTTACCAACAAGTTTCTTCGGCGTGAGCTTGCCGCTAGGCAGAAAGTTCCAAGCGAAATTGATCTGCTTAGTTTGGATGCGTTGGCCCGTTCTAATATAGTCGCGAAGAGCAGCTTTCTGGACTTCCCTTCGTGAGCCCCTATTGCCGAGCCGCTCGTACTGCACGCGCGCGAAGCGGAACAGTTCTGCAGATTTGTACCATTTGCGCTTTGGCGTATCGTCGTATTCGCCGTACTTGTCGAAATAACGAGCAGGAGGAGGAGAAAAGTCGTCTTCTTGTTCGCAAATCACAGCCCAGTCTAGCGCGTGTTGGTACATGAGCCAGTCGTGCCCGCAATTTTCGCCCATGCCGTCTAGGCTGTCTCGCAGCATACTAACGATGCTACGATACTCTTCGATCCGGACGTTTTTGTCTTGATCGGTTTCCTCGGACGCATCAGTGATCAAGAGTGTGACCTTGTCGAACGGATGGAAGAGAAGTGCGCGCCATGCGGAGATTTTGCGACCCCAGCCTTCACTGGCGTCGAGTGTGAGCTTCTGTGCCACCTGTCCGTGGCGCCAGTTATCTTTCTCAGCCTCGGGGATCATCGCAAGCTCAGCGAGAGCTTCGTTGAAGAAGCTGATGTCCAGGGTGAACGTGACGGATTGCAGCGCCTTCCATCCCTGGTGGAGCGGGATGGCTCCGTATAACTCAATTGCATGTCCACGCTCTTTCTCGAAATCCTTGCAGAATTCATCGAAGAATCCTTTTAAGTGACGAGCCGCTGCTTCAGAAAGCTCCTGTGTCATGTTAGCGATCAAGACCTATCTACTCTTTTTAAAAGACAACAACTTACTATGCTAGCTTGCTTGCAAGCCAATACCATACCACGGCAATCTTCTTCTTTCCGCCAGCGCTTCTTGTAAGGTAGAGGCGGGAGCCATGCATAAAGAAAGTCGTAGATGCTCATGCGTACGTCGCGATTCAAAAGGGTGAAGAACATGGCGTCTTGGACTATCGGGCTCGGTACGGATAGTGCAGCGTCCTGCATGGTGTTTCGTGAGAAAGAAGAGTTGACGGTAGCTGGAGTGAGCGCGTGCTCTGTCATAGTGACTCTGTGAGTGGTTTGTTTGCTCCAAGCTTGTGGTTGAGCGATCACAATGGAGGTACAGCAAGCGCTGAGTGATTATGGAAGCGTGACGGGCATTATATAGAGGTAGGAGGCGCGTAAGAAAGGCATCAGTGCGCTTTGAGACTGCTGCACGGGCGAAAGATCCGGTGCCTGAAGGATTCCGGTGCCTTCCAAGGTTGATCACGTTGAGGAACCGACTATCAGTGAAAGAACGATTCAAATTGCACCATTTCAGTGATAAATCGCGGCGTGATTGTATGATAGTGATTGGAGATGAGTATATGGTATTCCCATTGACTACTTTTGAACATCAAAATCATCAGTCTTCTCCGAATTCAAGACATCAAGGAAACTCAAAAGTAACCCGTTTCCTCTTCTCCTTCTTCCCCTCTCCCCTCTCTCCATCTTCCCCAACCACCACCACGCTCCCAAACCCTTCAAACACGCTACCCCCCAATCCAAACGCCCCAACCCACCTCTCCGCAACCGCAACCGCATTCCCCCACCTAATCCTCTTCCACCCCCCTTTCCTAAACTCATGCAGAAGAATATGGCCTAGCGTATGTATATCCCTCCTCGCCCTCGTCAACCTTTCCGTCGTCGTCCGCCCACTCATCCTATACCCATTCCCGGCTGGCCCCTCCAAGCTCGGCATCATACAAAGCGCAGTATGCAGCCTCGCTTTGTTCCGCATGAAGATGTTCTGCTGACTCAGATCATGGGGAGGGGAGGGAGGATGCATGTACCCCGCTGCCAGACCGAAGATGCCCCAGCCGAAGGACTCTTGTGGTAAATCGCCTACTGATAGGATGTCTTCGAGAACGACGATGGAACTGTCCCAGAGGAGGGTGAAGAAGTCGAGATCGGATTTTGTGGGGCTGGGCGGTTGGGCGCTGTAGGTGCTGTCTTGGGCGGCAGCTAAGGAAAGGGCCAGGTTTCTGAGGGAGGGCGAAGAGGCAGGAAGGACTTTGGGTGGTCGGAGAGAGCGTGTGAAGACTGATGTGGCGGGCAGGGTGGTGTATGGGCCGTGGTGGGTGATTAGGGCTTTGGCGTGGGAGAGGAGGTGGATGAAGCGGGTAATGTTTGTCATGCGGATGGCGGAGGCGAGGATTTCTTTGTTGGGTGGTAAGGCGGGTAGCTCGCCATCGGTTGCTGGGATGGGGTTGCGAGACTGGCTGGGGGAGGCTGTTGGTGGTGTGGGGTTTTCAGCCATACTGGGTCCAGTATGGCTACCTGTTGTGGATACGCTGCTGCTAGCAAAGTACTGGAATACTGTTGGACAGGCACTGTTGAGACTCTGGTGATACCGTGAGTGAGATAGAGAGGTCAGGAGCGGCGGGTGGAGATAGAATGGTGGGTGACGTGAATGACGACCAGCGTTGATGAATGTGTTTCGCGCAGGTGACGCCACGCTCCAGAATGCTCTCACGCTTTGAGTCTTCTGATGACTGATCTAGTGACGTTGGAACGCGTGTCCGTCAGAGCGTCGCGATATGGTGAGTCGATAAGACATAGTTTTCATGACACTGCGTATCGCTGGGTATGTTTGACCGCTTGAAGTGAGAATGTAGCCCGTTTGCTCAACTGAGATGATTCAGATGGCGGTGAGACATACGGTACTCATTGCGAGAGTTCACCCAGGTACGCGAAACTTTCCAAGACTCAAAATACTTCCGCGCGTGAAACTATGCCTCAAGCTATCGCGCAGTTGCAGCCTCGGAGGTGCCTCAGGAAGCCTTGCAGGGCCTTCATATTGTTGTTGAACCGTGACCGTGTGTATAATCTGACCCTCTGGAGTTTCCGGGACATCTTCATCTGTGACAACAATTTTTGGCGGGGACAGATTCTCTTCCAGGTCTATATCGTGAGGTCCATGGATCTGTATGGTGGTCATGTTGCCAGGTATCGTAGGCACCAGATCGGAAGGACTCAGGCTACGGCGATATCCGCGGCGATGTTTTCGTTTGCGACCACCTTCTTCTGAAGGATAGTAGTTGCGGCCTCGTTCTTCACGGGGTGCGTCGGCTAGACCCATCTTCCATAGACAGTGGCGGACGAGCGGACGGAGTGTCGCGATGCTTCCGGCGGTGATGCCGATGCCAGGTTCGATAGTGCTCCATAAGGCGACGTCGGTGGTAGCATACAAGAAATCGGGGCCTTGGACGAGGGTGTGAATGTACGCCATACGGATGGCAGTACCGGTGCTTCCGATTGCTGCGAATGCAAGGATACCTGCGACCAATAGCTTTGTCTTCGTTCTCATCTCTAAGCCCCAGACGATAAAGAAAGGAAGCAAGCCGAATGCCCAATCAGCCATTGCGTTGATGGCAGCGAGGGCATAGGTAATGCCCAGAGTTGGTCCGTTGTGTATGCATCTGTCGGAGGCAGGATGCACGTTCCAAAAATCCGAAACTATATCCATTAGCGAGTGTGAAAACGAGCGCTTGATTGATGCTTACTAGGAATGCATTGAAGCAAGACTAGAAAGAAGTAGACAAGACCGCATAGTACAGTGCCTAGCATGAGTATTCTGATGGCCCAGATATGCCAGCGCTCAATCGCGACCCGCAGGTAGAAGTAGCCGATGGCAAACTTGAGCAGACAGTTCGCTATTACGTAGAACAGCTCGCACAGGTACCAGAACTGTATCGAGTCAGATGTCAGATAATGTGATGAGAACGTTACACTTACCAAGAGTGCTGTCTTCGCATCGCTATCGCTCAGCTCCCATCGATGGCGACCAGTTCCGTGCATCGCGGCAATGATCTGACATGGGAGATACACGGTGAACGTCAACTACAAGCTTGATCAGCATAGTTTCCGATTGAACGCGAGACGGGACCACTTACTAGTGCCGCAACCATGTACGAGTCATCTTTTCCCCATGTCTTCATCAGTACTGCGCGTACGTAGATCCGTAGGAGAACAGTCGTCCATGTGAGCACAAAGAACAGTGCAGCCACGGCGAACACTTCGGGACTGCGGTTGTCTTTGCTCATGTCGGAGATGCTTTCCGGCTATTGAGGCTTCGTTGATTTTTCGTTAAAGCGATGCGATCTCTCATAGCTACCTGCAGTCGTTCATCCGAATTATTGCTGGCCGTATCCCACGCGATGGGAAACTTCATCGACAAACAACGGGATGCCGAGGAAGGCTCCAATATTAGCAGACCCTGGAGCATAGGGACCGTTGATAGTCGTGCCAGGCGCGTAGTCTCCGAAACTGGCCAGAAGCCCTGCCGCGCAAGACCAGTGGAAACCAACGACCCACTATTGAAGATCGCGTTCTTAACCGAGTCATGAACGATGTGCCGGACGGTCTATTCGTTGCGAAAGAGCGGTAACTTCAATGGCGGCCTCTTAGGCTGCATACCTCAGCTGCCAACCTCAACACGGAGACATCTCCTCAGGACAAGCCACACGGTTAATATCATGCAAGTAACTTTTGACATGTTCGGTCGAGACGTGAACTGCCGGAGGACTAGGTGGTAGATCTGCAGATTGACTTTGTGCAGGCATCACGATTCCCAGCCTGAAGCCGCCGCTAGGAGTCTCCCTCCGCATCTCAACGGTTGGCCCTCCGGTCGGTACCGATGATGACGGCATGCGCTGCCACGGCCAAGGCAAAGATCCGAATCCGAAAGCTGTGATGGCCCAACGCGGGTTGAAGCAGTCTAATGTTTTGGAGTTGTGGTTAGGCGGGTCTGGGCAGGACGGAGAATGCCGTGCCGCGGTAGATCGGCACAGGGATACCCGTTGAGCGAAAGGGTTAACCTGGCCTGGCCACATGGCAGTGCGGTACGCCATCTTCAAGGCTTTCAATTTTGTAATCTACTCGTCATTGTCACCGCGATCGCCACAATAGCATCACGACTTCGACGTTTTGAGGAGCGAAGAGCGAGTGGTTCGGCATCGCAAGCGCAGACACCGCAGTTCCCCATCCCGCCAGCCGTTACGCCATGTCTTAGGGCCGATTGCGTGCTGTCCAAGCCACGAGGACAGACCCCTATCATCGACACTGCGATTATTCACTCTTCTCTCACAGCTTGCCAACGCTCTGGCGGAGCTTGTCGTGTATTTGCAGCACGGGTTGCGACAGATCCTGGTATCACAAACTTCCAAGACGCGTTACTCACATCCTACTTAGGTAGGCTTATGTGTCCTCCCTGATTGATCCGCAGGCAATCTTCAACTCAAATGCAATCCATTCATCCTTCCGGCCATTGCCAGACGTCGTGATTCGTAACAATGGCTTGCCGGAAAGGTAAGCAAGGTTGCAGATGCCGGCAAACTGCTTGCGTCGGGTAGAGACATCGAATTGCTGTCTTGAGCACAGTCGCACACCCGCGAATATAATGGAACACAACCGTTCGGATCTCAGTGTCTCGCATGTCCTCTCCAGCCGTATCTCCATCGTCTCCTTTTGTATAGCAGCTACACCAAGGAAGTTCATCACATCGATCTGATTTCGAAAATTCCCTTATTGTTTGTTTGTCAATATGACTACTCAAGCGTATAGCACTTGCGCACTTCCGGAGGGCCTTCGTTACTATCTCCTTCGTGGCACTGTCATGGTACCGCTGGTACCAGTAGACCAGCTGCCTTTCCAACTTCAAGGAATCCCACGTCAGTTGACCCATCGCCAGATCTCAGACGGGGCTTGGAAGCTTTGCTCAGAGACGGACGAGATCCCTTCGGCTCTCCTGATCCAAGCGCCTACATCCAGCAGCTTCTCGCCTCGCTCCACTACAACGACGCAGTCACGATACTTGGCACCAGACCATCATGTACGTGCGGAGCCGCAGACGATGCCCGTGAGCGACATTCGTACTCCTCGACTATCTCATCCCCTCCCAGCGATCGTGAACACGGCAGAACCACCTCGCCCAACACCCACCGCTACTACCGAACGCCCGTCCTCACTCACCGATACCTTCGCCTCTATCTACCAGAAAGATGCGCAGCGCCTCGGATACCGCCTCCCCCATCCATCTGGCATCGAGCCCGACCCATCCAAGAAAGAGTACTGCACACACTGGATCAAGACAGGCGAATGCGACTGGACAGCCATCGGATGCAAGTTCAAGCACGAAATGCCCGGCATCGAGAAACTCCGTGAACTAGGCTTCGTCAGAGGTATACCGAAGTGGTGGAAGGAGAAATCTGCTATCGGTCCCAGGCCGCCTACTTGGATGCAGCGAAGGCTAGCGGCGAATGATGATGCAGAGCAGGATGGTGCGATGCCGGAAGCAAAAGTGTTTCCCGACCCTTCGACATTTCGAACGAGGAGGAGTGAAGAGCGTGATCTACTTGGTGACGACGTACAGCAGCCGCGTGGTATCTTCAAGAGGAACTCATCTCCCAAGCAGACTACATCAGGACGACTGACCCCTCCACCAGCGCCAGTCCAGGAATCTATGCGCCGTGCCAGCCAAGTATCAGATCTGCTCATCGATCTTGACGATACTCCTGCGCCTCCACCTAGCCCTGAGTCATCTCGCGCTTCGGAAGGCAGTACAGGATCCAGTGAGATGCAGATCCCCTCCAGTCGCCCCTCTACCTCGCCACCTTCGTCGCCCAGCATCGAGTGTAAGACCTCGTCACCGATCGATAGCAAACCACCCCCAAAGGCTGTCGCTACCAAGAAGACGTCAAACAAAGACGCCACCACCCGGCGCCACTCCCAGCTCTCATGGGCTTCTGATACCGAAGATGACACCCCCGCTCCCACTAAGCTCACACCCAAACCCTCTCGACCAACCCAACAACGACGCAGACCCGCTCCTCGCGGCGATAGCAGACGTGCCGCTACAACTTCCACGACCTCGACTCCGACTAAGCATTCCGGTCTTGCAGCTTCTAAGCACGCAACCAATGATTACGTTGTAAATAACAGTGCAAGCCACGGCAGGAATGCGAACCGTAAGATTCACGGTAAACATGTGGAAGATGCTGGCGTACCAGAGCTACATGCCAAGATTGAGCAGTTAAGGAGGGAGGCGCATCAGAAGGAGAGGGTGAGGAAGGGTGCTGTGATGGCGGCACCTGCAGCTGGCAGACGAACAGCTGTGTGAGTGGAAGAGGTGTGCGGCGGTGGTGTGTGATGAGGTGCAAGCACATGACGTGTGACGATGTTCGGCACGGGGCAGTAGGTGATGAGTGAGTTGTACGAAACGCAAAAATTGAAGGGTTAGCGGTAGTATAGCCGTATCGGATCAGTGTTTTGCTTACAAGTGTCTGCCTTTCCTACTTTCTCTATGATAGACTTAGGTGATCTGGTTCTTTGATGAATGCGGCTCTACAACAACACTTGTCTGACATGACGTTATAATGCATCGCTCGAGGCACTGCGCCTGGTGTACAACCCCAACCGAAGTAATAAATGGGAATATAAATACTCATCTCCAACACCTACCATACAACCACGCCAGATATTCAACTCATCCCATCCCCTAAACCCCCTCCCCGCCAACCTTCCTCTTCCCCGACACAGCCAGCCTCTCCGCCACCTTCTTAACACACGCCTTCCTCTTCCAACACCCGCGATACCACTCATCCAACTTTGCAAATCTCACCTCACCATTCTCATCTTTCCCACCACTCATCCCACTCCCACCACTCATCCCACTCCCACCACTCATCCCACTCCCACCACTCATCCCACTCCCACCCACCCTCCAGCCCTCCCACTCCCCAACCAACCCATGTACAACCGGCCAAACAAACGCATCCGCAACACTAAACCTACTCCCCGCTACAAACGGTCCTCCGTTCCTCTCTACAGTTTCTTCTAGGCGTGCTAGGAGGTTCTGTAAGGCGAAGTTGGTGGTGGTGGTAGTAGGAGTAGGAGTAGTAGGAGTAGAAGTAGGAGTAGTATCCCCCCGTATTTCTCCACTCCCCTCGGTTCCTCTACTTCTCCGCGGGTTCTGCTGATTCCGCCAAACCCGCAAAATCTCCTCTGCTAATAGTATGATAGGAAACGCATTCGCAGTAGCCAAATTCGCAGAATGGCTTTTATCGAGGGGGTGATATCGGTCTAGGTACAGTAATATACCCATCGGCGTGTGAATCTCCGAATGCTGAACATCCACGTCACGGAACATAATCTGTCTGTCCCGTTCAAACGACGAATCTAGATCCGGTGCTTCAACAAGCGTGAACGGCACTTTCGCTTCCGCTAGACAGATAAGCATTTGATCATTCTGCACCCTGTCATTCGACAGGAAAAGCAGCGGCGTGTCGTCACCGGGCGGCTCATGGAGGTGCAAAACATCAAACCCCTCACCATACCACTTCTCCCACTCAAACTCCACATTGTGATTCTCGCGGCTAAAAGAAGTGATGAGGCGTTTCGTCTCCGCCTCGTCATTCGCGATGATATCCGCGGCGTCGCGTTGCGTTTTCGACGTCGCGCCTTGGCCCCAGATGATGGTGCTGCGGCAATCGAGGTACGTGGCTATGTGGCGGAACGTCAGACTGATGCGTATGCCTCCATATGCGTTTTCCGTTTCGCTGCGTTCGGCGGGCAGGCGCTTGTCGGGCTGGATGCCGTGGAGCCATTTTGCGTTTGAGGCGAGGCCGAGGGTGAACATGGAGTTATGGGGGAGGTGGACGCGCTGGGTTGAGCGCTCGGTAGTACTACTTTCAGTATCTTCTGGTGTTGATGACGGGGCTTTCTTGGTGCGCAGCCGCATGGTGCGTTGCGAACCGAAGCTTACATTGACGATGGAGGAGCCTTTTGCGATGTCGAGCGTCTTGTCCGAGTGCTCGGAGATGAAGTCGTTGCCGGAGCGGTAGAGTTGGATTAGCACGTGGTTCAGAGGGTGGCCGACGAGCGCCTCGGCGCGCTTTCGTATGACGTGGACTTTGGGGGAGAAGCGCAGCAGGGGCAGGGTTTGGTCGGATGGATGACGGTATACGGGCATTGAGCCGTCGTCGCCGAAGGCGCCCTGGCAGCATACTAGACGCGGTACTTCGCCTTGTTGGTGGAGCATCTTTTGCCAACGTACTTCGTTGTAGAGATGGGTGAAGATGGTGTCTTTGAGTGGTTTTGCTGGTTCGGACGGGTGGAAGTAGTCGGCGGGGAAGAAATCGTGGATGATGCGTGAGTCGCCTTCTGCAATGTGATCGCCAGGCCCTAGGACGGGGAACGTTGCGAGTGACTGCAACTTGGGCGGCTTACCCATCGTTGCGGCTTTTGTAGGTGTCTTTGTTGATGATGGCGAACTGGCTTCTGGCGTGCTGACAGGAGGTTGTTCTGGCCGTGCAGCTTCTACAGTCGGTAGCTTGATTTCCCTGTCGTCTTGCTTCGGGGTGGTTGGTGCAGGCTTTGCAGAACTGATGGACCCTCTCTTTGACTCAGACCCCGACTCAGACTTTGGTGCCCTAGTGAGTGACATGCGCACGCGATCCGAGAGTTCAGTCAACCTGTTTTTCTCCTTCTCATCACCAGCCTTCGCGGACAATGCAGGTACCGAGCTAGCATTCTTCAGCATATGCTGCTTGCTATCCTTCTGCCGCAAATCTGCAACACTCCCAGCTTTTGCAATCTTGGACATTCGTTGAGGCTCAGCCGATGCGGACTGTGGTATGACTGTCGGTGCCGTAGTGATTGGCGGAGATGGATCTTTCGTAACCTGGTTCGCCGTCGTGCTCGGCTTGCCATTCGCCTCTTCACCATCTTCCCTTGATGCTTCTCTGTCCTTCGCTTTCTTCTTGCTCTTCCTATTCTTCCTCATTCGAACCTTCGACTTGACAAGTTCCGGCTTGTCCCCTTCTGTCTTATCTTCCGCGGCACCTGCAGCACCCTGTGCAGCCCTCTTCTCTATGATGTCCCTTGCGAGAGACAGTTTAGCCATACGCTCCTCCATAGTCTGCTCGCTCTTCGCGCCATCCGCAGGCGCTGTTGTCTTTGTCGCAATTATCGTCGTATCCTCCTTGAGTATCTCTTCACTGTTGACCAAATACGTGCTGAAGAAATCTTCCATGCGCTTCAGCGCCAGTTCGTGTCGGTTTTCCCTGCGGAAGCCCAAGCAGTCTTCTATGACATGAATCTTGACACCATGCCGCGCTGCATCGATGACAGTCGCAAGCACAGAAACATTGGTGATGCATCCGCAGATGAAGAGTTCGGTAATGAGTCTTGCGCGCAGAGTTATGAGCATGTCGGTGCCCTGGAAGGCGGAGTAGTTGGTCGTTTGTATCACAACGTCTGCAGGTAGCTCGATCTGCTTCGCGATAGCATCTGCAAACTCGGCGCCACGCGTGTCGGGCACGCATGCTGGCGTTCTCTTCTCGCTCTTCAACAGGAACAGCTCTTCGTCTTCCTCAGCCTTGGCTTTTGCGACTTCCTTTGGCAGCGTCTTTCGTCGTGCAGACACGCGTTTCAGCAGGGCTAGCGCGCGTTCCTTGTGTTTTGAGGATCTGGATGGCGCGGGCAGCGACGCTGCTTCCTTGGCTAACTCTTCCTCAGCTTCATTATTGTTTTCCTCGCCATCGAGCAGCCCTTCTACGACAAGCGTGTCTCCTGCACCCGTGTCGGCGCCAGTCGCGATGCGATCGGCTTCGTACAGCGTCTGGACCCAAATGACATTGCCGCTGAGCTCCCTGAATTTCGGGATCAAAGTCTGGATGCGCTCCAAAAAGCCCGTCTGGGTGTCAACCGGCAGTCGTCCTTCTGATGTCACAAAGTCGTTCTGGAGTCCAACGAGAACAAGGGCTTGGTGTGTTTGGAATTTGGGTTGGTTTTGGGACACAAGGTCCATCAAAGACGCCATGTTGGAGTTCATCGTGTCAGGAACGCGAACGGCTAGGGTTGAACGCGGAAGCGACAAGTCTTGGCATTAATGCTAGTGAGCGGGAGATTGCCAAAGACAAGGGCTTTCTGGATGCGAAAGCGAGCGGAAGGCAATGGTTAGAGTGTTGGTGTTCTACTTTTTGGACGACAGCTGATATTTGATCACGAGATGCAAGCAGGATGAAGCCAAGAGGGCGTTCAGTAGATTGAGTCAAGTCGCCGCATCTTCGGGCCATGCAGGGATAAGCATTGGAGGAACGCGTCCCGGATGTGTTGCGCAGGGCGTTGAAAGCTCCAGCAGGCAGGATTGGTAGTGTTTTGGAGGTTTCGACGGCCGCTAGATGGCCCCTCGCCCGTCCCCGCCACCATTAGCGCGGGGCAAGGGCGGTACTTCTATGTTTGCGCCCATCTGCGACCGCGGACATGCTCACTCCGCAAGGGCTTCCCTCTCATATCCTCCACCATGTACATCTCGACGACCGCATCTCCGCGCACACGTGTGTCTGCGCTGCGGCTTGCCCCCGGACTATAGGTCGGACGGCATAGCGCACAAGGCAGGAAGCCTAAACGGACCTCATTCTTCACCGCCAAACCACCTAATGCTCTGGATGGTGCTCGGAAACATGTTCCAGCATGTAATGTCCCGACGTCGCTCTTGCCGGGCCCAGGATACTGGAAGCAAATTCTTGCGGTCACTTGTTGCTGAAAAAGGATGTAATCTTCCGCGAACCATCCGCCTTGGACGTCTTTGCTGCGCTGCCGTTACTCGTGGCGCTTCTGGTACCTTGCTTCTTCACGGGTGTTGACTTCTTCGCAGGGCTTTTGGCAGGCGAGACAGACGCGGTCGGTTTGTTGCGCTTGTGCTGTGGCTCAGACTCTGCGTTGCCATCAGCCACGTCGTCGTGCTCTCGCTTGATGCCTTTTGGCGACGTCGCTGGGATAGGCAATGGCGCGTTATCTTCGGTACCTCCCACGCGATCTGTGGTGACACGCGTCTCATCAACGTCGTGCTCGACTTTGATCTGGCTCTTCTCATCTGTCGAGGCGTCCAGATCATGCTGTGCTTTGCCGACAGATTGCTCTTCCGCTTTGGTCTCGGCAGCTTTTCGTTGGTTACCGAAGAAATTGGCAATGTTGTTCTTGTTGGCCGCGCTGTTGATTGGCACGAGAAAGGACGGCGAGTTGTTGCCGACTTTGCCTACGTCTTTGCTGACCGGGTAGCACTCCAACTCACCCTCGTATGGTTTTAACAGCGACTGCAGTTCTGTGCTCCACTCT